CCCCAAAACCCCAAAACCCCAAAACCCCAAAACCCCATAAAGAAATTTTTCCTTTTTTATATTTCTTTTAGATATTTAAACATGAGAGTGGTGTTTCTTTGGGCATGGATGATCACTATTGGAATAGGCATGTTCCAGATGGGATACTGAAACGTGATGTTTTCTTCCTTCCTGGACATATTGCAGCCTCAGCTGGGAAAGTATGGCAGAGATATCATCCATGATGATAACGATTTTAATGCTATTATGACCACTGCTGTCCCAGCTGGGGCTGCTGTCGGAGCGTTCACAGGTGGATTCCTAGCTGCAATGGGAAGACGTAGAGCTATATTCTTGGTAAATGCCATCTTATGCCTAGGCACGGGGATATCAATGATATTCCATTTCTTTTCTATTTTAGCAGGAAGGCTAATTGTGGGGTATAGTGTAGGAGCTCTAACAGTTCTGACTCCAATGTTTATCTCAGAAACTTCTCCAGTGAAACTTTTAGGCCCTCTTGGAACTTTGAATCAGGTTATGGCTACTATAGGAATTATGGTTGGATATTTCTTAGGTTTTCTTGCTCCCTTATCTTTAAAATCAGATGATAGTGAGAATTTTGCTATTTATTCAACTAATTCATGGAGATATGTCTTCATGGTGCCCGCCATCGTTGCTATTTTCCAATGAATTCTTCTCCTATTCATCTTCAAGTACGATACTCCAAAGTATTACAGGCAGGTTGGAAATGAAGAATTGGCACTAAAGGTAACTTAATTACTAAAGTAAATAGTCTGAACAACTGATTGATCCAGATCTTGATGGAAAAGCTAGAAGTCTCCAACCCGTTCAGGAGAGTACTCATAAAGTGAAAATATCCCAGCATTGCAGTCCAAAATATAGATGGGCTCTAATGGTCGGGTGTCTTCTTGCTTTCTTCCAACAACTCACAGGGATAAATGTAGTTATCCTTTACTCAAATAAAGTTTTTACATCTGGATCTAACGAAGAAAATCACAATGACCTTATCCGGGCTAGAACCGGAACTGTGATAGTTGGAGTGGTGAATTGGGCTGCAACAATGGTAGCTATCCCACTTTTGTTCAAGATAGGTAGAAAGGCACTCATGCTCGTTGGACATACAGGGATGTCTCTAGCATTAATCGCTCTTGGTGTCCTTGCTATATTTGAAATCGATATTGCAATAATAGCTTTCACCATGGTCTTTATCGCTTTCTTTGAGGTTGGTGTTGGATCAGTGGTGTTCCTATACCTTGCTGAGATCATGACTGAGTTCGGTATATCAATGGCTCTAGCAGTGGTTTGGAGCCTCACAATCCTAGTCTCTCTTATAACTCCTAGAATGATAGAGCAATTACATCAAGATGGCTTATACTTCATGTTCGCAGGAATCAACGTCATCGGTTGGTTCTTCATTCTATTCTGCATCAAAGAAACTAAGGGTAAATCTAAAATTGAGCTGAAAGGATTATACTCAAAACAAAATAATAACTTCGAAGATGTAGAAGTGAATATTAGTGATGAAGTCACTGCATAGGAATTGCTAGTTCTGATCGTTTCAGACTTGGTTAGATTTAAATAGACTTGTATTAAAAATTTGGATAAACAATCTTCTCCATATAGGCCATATCTTCAATTTCATACCAAGGAATGGGGTTTTGGGGTTTTGGGGTTTTGGGG